GTATTAAGATATTGTGACACTGTATCATTATATAAATTATATTTATAGGGGCATCTTAGTATATCATATAGATCATCCCTGACCAAAAAAAAATATGAAGTGATAGAATAGAAAATAAACTTTTATATAAAATTTGATGGTTTTATTTGATATTTAAACCAACTATAAAAAAATGGAGCAATTTATTCATGCTATATAACGGCATAGTCTGTACCATATGTTATAATATTGTGCACTGAGGTAGTTGTTGATAGATGTTGCTAATAATGAAATGAAAAATTTCTTGCTTTATTTAGTTTCTCAGTCTTAAGCTTAAAATTTCCACTAGTGTATCCTGGTAATTGAGAATATAAGGTGTGTTAATCTCAGGGACACTGGTTCGAGTCCTTGCTAAGACTTGTTTAGTCATTTCTATTTTCTTTAACAAGCCAGTCTGATACAGAATCAAGGATCACTGCTAAATGGTTGTTACAGTATTTTCCTGCAGTTGAAGGGCCGACAAAATCTGATTTGAACTTACTTGTCTGTTTTTATCTGAAGCCATATGAATTGTTAAAAAAATTCATCTTCTCTGTACAGGCTGTGGGACAACCTGGGAAATACAGACTATTAATTTAGCTGTCCATGCTGGTGGTAATATAATGATAAGAATACAGTACTAAACTTTCTGAATGGTAGTGATGATAATAAGCCAGCATCAAAGAACCAGACATTGCTAATTTGCTTATATGTTTGTCTTTTGCAGAGGCTAACTGGAATGTAGATGTAGCTTATCGTTCATACAAGAGTAACCAGATGGCTCAGAGTGGCTTTCAGAAACCTGCTATGCAAAACCGGTACTCTCAACCTCTGAACCAGACCCAGCAAGTCCCACAACAAGGGGTCAGGTACGCAAGACCTATCAGTGACTTTCATCATCAAGGCATGTTTGGATCAGTAATGACAGGTACTGGGCCAGCTGTTGGAAGTAGTGTGCACCCTGCATTTCAGTCCCCCAAGCCTGTTCCAAAGTTTCCAGTGGAAAGGGAGAGAATCATTCCAATACAGGTAATGCACTTTAAATTTACCAATAAACTCATAATTTAGATAATCAATATTGACTGGAAGCTTTGAGGAAAATTCATCAGATGTTTTCTGTTGAAAATATTTCAGAAATTTCTTTTAAAACCACAGAAAATAACTCAACTTTTATGATTTACATGAAATTGAAATAGGCAAAGTTTAGAACAATTGGTTATATATTTGATAACAAATATCGAGGAATATTGTAAAAGTTATGATTTTTGGGAATTTAATAAGATAATGTATAACAATGCAAATTGTTTGATTTTCCTACTTAGTTATATTTTTTTTGGATTATTTCACCTTTTACCTGTTTAATTTAAAAAATATTTGGATTATTTCACCTTTTACCTGTTTAATTTGTTACATGCAGCAGTCCAATTCACATTTTTGTAATTGTCAATCAGCTATCTTGGGGATATCAAGATGAAAATTTGAAAATAAGTCTGCTAACAGTATAGAGTCTGGTCAGACTGCATAGAGATGCAGGCTTGTCTTTGGTAGCAAAGGCTAATTACTTTATAAATCAAACCCTTCTTTGGCTGGAACTGAAAGTAAATTGTACAGTAGATTTCATGCAAAGTTAAAGTTTGTCATAAATTTTGAACTTCTTAAATCAGGTAATCATGTAAAACTTGAAAAAAGGTACTTGGTAGTCATTGTATAAAAATAATGACTCATTTCTTAACATATCTTATTTCACATAAGCATGTGTTAATATTTGGCAATAGTGATTTATTGACTTAATTGTGTTTATTGCCACATGGTAAACATGTTGAAATACTATTTACAAGTCACGCCTTGCACACATTTACTTGTTTTGAAAAATTATAACCACAATAAAACTTCAGATCTTAATAAATAATGTTAAGACTATTTCATAACTACCTATAAGTCATGAGGATCTTTGTCATGTTTAATCATAAATTATTCTGTCACATTTTACTTTTAAATAGTAAAATCATTTAAAACATATATCCAAAGTAAATAAATTGTTAATAGGCTTTGCATGTTAATTGATGCATGTACATCAATGTAATTATCACCATTTATCTCCATTGATCCAGTCTGCGAAAAATAGGCAAAGTCCGAGCCCAAGTCTTTCCGTTCTGGCTAGTATAAAATGTAGGGACAGTCTTTCAATGTTTTGAGATCCGAAAAAAATGAGGGAATAGCGGGGAAAAGTTTTGTTTTTTTTAAGGTGGACAAAGCACAAATGTCTATGACCATAAAAAGTTTTATGTGCAGACTGTAATGACAATGTTATTTTAACTCATACTTCATTAGTACAATCCAAGAATAATTCAGAGACTAAACTATGAAGATTTAGCAAAGCATGTATTAAATGTTTTCAGATTGAGACAAGACAACCAGTTGTTAAAGCTGGAAGAGTTACTCCCCCTCCTCAAACAGCTGGCACCTGGTTAAACCAGCAACAAAATACCAATACCCAGAATAGTTTGCCTAAATCCCAGACATACCCAGTTCCTGGAGCGGGAGATATACAAGGGGGACAAACACAGCAAGCCAAGGGCAACAACTCTGTCCTTGTACAAGGTATTCAGACATAAATGAAAAATGAAACAAAAATTTCAAGTGAATTATACTCCATTTGTAATGTTAAAATTTATGTATGAAAATATACTTTGGGTTTACATCAGTATTTTGGTTTTACATCAGTATTTTTATACAGCTTTAAAGTTAAAAGGTTTTTTTCACCTTTGTGACCTTTCTAGTGTCAGTGTAATGTCAACTGGAAAAAAAATTATTAAAGTTAATGTGAATGACTTGTAACTTTACCAAAAAAAAAAAAAAAAAAATGCATAATAATTAATTGTCACCTTAGTGCAGTAATGGGTTAACTCCTTATGAAATTTTATAGGAATTAACCAGTTATTGCACTGAGATGACAAATTTTGTATTTGGCTATTATCCCATGATACTGACTCATGGGATTATTACTTTTGCTTATGGCTAAAAAGAAAAGACAAAAAACAAACTGATTGCTTGGTGAAATATGTGGATTTAAATTAGATGATATTTGAGACCTACCAGTAATGCAGCAATAATGAATACGATCAGAAATGCTTGAATAATCATTTTAAATACTTGACAACCCTGACAAAGTGACATTGCTAAACTTTACTTGTATATAATGCACTCGGCTCTAATGTCCATTTATATGTGAGATATATTTTATAACAAGATGTTTCAATTAAAACAGCCAACAGTGTGTTTAGGCAGAATAGATTTCAAGGCTGGCCTGGCTCTATGTTAGTGACGCATTAGTAACACTGCTATCATTGTCATGATTAATTTAAAGATAGAAAGTAAAGAACCCAAACCATGGTGAAACAAGGTCATTCACCTTGCTAGATCTTGTTTGTTGTCATTTTCTTTGTATATTGTCAGTAGTTTGATGTATTTATTTTGATTAAACAGATCAATTTACATAAAGTTTTTAAGTTTAAATGTTTACATCATTTGCTCCTTATGATATCAGCAGAGAATAATGGTATATAATTTGTCACCTTAGTGCAGTAACATAATAAGTCCTTCTAAATTTAATAGCAGTTAATCAGTTATTGCACTAAAGTGATGATTATGCTGTATTTGATTATAAAACATATGTTGTAACATTGATTTCTTTACATATCTCTTATCAGTGTACATTATGAAAATCTAAATTAGATTTTAAAATGTGAAATTTTTGTTTTGCCATAGTGTGATATTTTTTTTTCATAAAATTTTACTGTGATCAATTGTGTAACATATTGGGCCCAGATTTCATTGTCTACTATAGAGTTATTGGGTTGGAATAAATTATGAGTTGAAAATTTCAGCTGGGTTTGCAGCACCTGAACCACAAACTAGCAAGGGAAGTAACCCTCAACTACAGCAGAATATCAAGGGAGGTTACTCTCAAGTTCAGACAAACAATAAGGGATTTAACACACCACAGCAGCAGAATATTAAGGGTGGTCTGTCTCAAAATCAGATGACTGATAAAGTTATTACTAGTAGCCAGCCCAATCAGCAGACAACGAAGAATGAAGATGTGAAGTTGTCTCCCCCTGAACCAAAACCTGCTTTGATAGGAAGTACTTGTAAGTTTTTATTGAATTTTATTTTGTTTATTTGAATATATTTCATGAAAATGGCTTCACAAGCTATTTTGAAAATCTTTAAGATTAAAATTGATTTAATATCCCCTTTCATCTTAGATAACTTCTAGTTATTTGCAGTATTTTTACTATTTATGGAGCACTGTTACAATATGTTGATGACTATGTGGTAGTTTTAATGTTAAACCCTATCATATCATTATTTTATTTGGCATTTCAACCTTATTTTGCTGAATTGCTATAAAATCATATTTTGATAATAGGTAATTATAATAAGATTTTTTTTTTAATGGTATTAAAAACTCCAAAGCTATGATACGGTAATATTAAAAAAGATCAATTTCGATATCCAAACAGTTTCAGGATGAATTCAATATAGCTGTGGAATATATCTTTATTTACAGCTCCAAAAGTGTTAAAACGAGGAATTTCAAAGATTTCCCAGAATGCCATATTGGTAGATGAAGAACGCAAGAATGTTCTCCATGACATCACAGAAGATTGTCATGACCACATGTACGTGCAGACATTTGTTCTGCCAGATATCACAGGATACGCTGATGAATTCCGAGAGTTTCTCGAAAGAGATTTGATCGAACAGTCTACTCTAGTCTCATTAGAACAAGCAGGTAATGTTGGGCTAAGTAAAATATATCTTTGTATCATGTGGCTTGATTTTTATAAAAATGTGATATTCAGGTTCAAAACTCTGCAGTGATTGTTTTTAAGGCAGATTTCTTTTGCATAGATATTTATTCCATTTAAAACTTGGTTGACCATGAAATTTGAAAAGAATAATACAATGTCAAGTGAGGATTTTTTGAGAAGTGGGTAAGGTTGCTAACTTTAAGTTATTTGACCTTATGACCTTCCCACCTCGGAGATTGTACCTGGTTGCTTGAATTGTGACTAAAATGATGCACAGAGAAGCATTTATGGTGTTACTTGACAAGTTACAATGTAAGTTGGAATGTCACCATTTTGACCTGTAATTTAGTGTCTGTGTGACATGAACTCCGGTCATAAAATGAAAAGAAACAAAATGATAAGAGGGGCAAGATAACTGTAAAACCTCAACGATAATAATATAACTAAGATAATGTAAATAATTTTGTTAATTTTTTCTATCTCTCTTTATTAAACAGGACGTTTGAATTGGTGGGCTGAGCTTGGTATATGTCAGAGATTGTTACCTATGGCAACCTCAGGGATGGAAACTGTTTATTACATGCAGCCTCATTAGGTAATTTTTATATTGGAATACGCATTTCGTTTTTTTTGAAAGGCGTTTTATAGGTGTACACATCTTAACTTGATTTCCTAGTAGGGAAACTAAAGCTACCTGTGTGCATTTTCTTGGAAAAATGAAAACATCTTGATATTTCAAGTCATTCTAGAATACTTACATGTATATCATATAATCATTATTTAGAGAGAACAAACATTGTTACTGTGAGAGTATTGTATTAACAAGATGCATTAAAAGCTTAATTATGTATGCAGAACTTATAGCTTTAATGAATAGGAATCTGTTTTGTTCTGGTCCTAGAAATATCAATAGCCGTTTTCCATTATGTTATGGAATTCGTTGTATGTAATTGTGTATGTTAAAAGATTGCAAATGTTTCCCGTTTTTGTGGGACTTTTGAAATAATTTTAAAACTTAAAATTAAGCCCTAAATTTAAACCCAAAAAAAAACCCCCAATGTATAAGATGGAACTGAGAAATTTTTAAAATTGGCAAACTTTTTTTTGGGGAATTGGTTCATTGAAAATTAAACCTTAATTCCCGGGCATCCAATATACCCATAAACCAATGTAGGCTAAGTCAATTTGTAGCTAAGATAAATGTGGGTAAAGATCAATTTTAGGTAAGATATTTTAGGTAAGATCGGTCTTCTATCGGGGTGTAACCTGATCATCCCGGGACTGAGTCTCTATTTGGTCGGGGTAAATAATTTTTTTTTTCCCTTTAAAAAAATAAATTTTTTGTTTTAAGTTTAAAAAATTAAAACCCCCAGAGTTATTTTTGGGGTAAGGGGTTTTAAGGGATTTCATTTTTAAAATTTGGCACAAAACAGGACCCTCATTTTAAAAGAGAAGGGTCGGAAATTACTTAGAGGGCTTTGCTGATGCTTTTTATTTCTTGGCCTTTTAAATTTTAGGTTTTACTTGGGTAAAACAAACATTTTTGCATAGTGTTATCTTCTTTAAAACCTACAGCAATGTGGGGGTAAAATTTGGATGACAGGGGTTTTTAGACGGGGGGTGTAGGGATACCCTTACAAAGAAGTATTATAGACAAGCTTTGTATAGAAGATTGGAGACTACAACAGACTCAGGCAAAAACAAACAGGTACAAAGGTTTATACATTCATACTATCAGGTTTAACATTGTCATATCCAGGTGCTTGCTTTGTGTGTTATTTTAGGCTAGCTTTGGGAACACTGTTTTGTCATTGTTGTTTTCATTATTATCAAATGTCTAATGTAAAAAAGTTAGAATGAAAAGCAATTAAATGTTTATAAAACACGATTACTAGGTCTTCATTGTAATTTTAGTTATAAGGCTATATGTTTTGGAATGCACTGTTTAATTTGATCTAAAGGGCATTATGTCTGTAATCTACTGCTAATTTAAAAACTAAAGGCATTTATGTCTGTAATCCACTGTAATTTAACTAAAGGCATTATGTCTGTAATCCACTGTAATTTAAACTAAAGGCATTAGTGTCTGTAATCCACTGTAATTAAACTAAAGGCATTATGTCTGTAATCCACTGTAATTTAACTAAAGGCATTATGTCTGTAATCTACTGTAATTTTACTAAAGGCATTATGTCTGTAATCCACTGTAATTTAACTAAAGGCATTATGTCTGTAATCCACTGTAATTTAACTAAAGGCATTATGTCTGTAATCTACTGTAATTTTACTAAAGGCATTATGTCTGTAATCCACTGTAATTTAACTAAAGGCATTATGTCTGTAATCCACTAATTTAACTAAAGGCATTATGTCTGTAATCCACTGTAATTTAACTAAAGGCATTATGTCTGTAATCCACTGTAATTTAACTAAAGGCATTATGTCTGTAATCCACTGTAATTTAAACTTAAAGGTTTTTGTCTTTTAACCACTTTTTAATTTTAACAAAAGGGCTTTATGTCGAAATCCATGTAATTAACAAAAGGGCATTATTTCGTAATCTACTTTTAATTTTAATAAAGGGCATTGTAATCCCTTTTAAAATTTTGAAAAAAGCCACAAAGGATTTTAATTTTTGCAAAAAATTTTTTAACCCAAATTTGCCATGTTTTGTAAGAATTTGAAATTTTAACTAAAACGAAAAACTCGTAAATTTTGCATTGTTTTGCATAAGTGTGCTGTAAATTTTTCCCTTCTTACAAAATAAAGTGTTTTTTTTTTTAGAGAAAACTTGTTTAAAAAAAAATCTTTAAACATGAAATTCGTTAATTTTTGTATGGGCCGGGAATTGATATTCTGAAAAAAAGGAAAATGAAGGGGTTTAATTTTGTTTTACGTTCTGGCTTATCAACACCAGGTTTTTAACTGGTTTTTAGGAACTAGGCTTTGGGAAACTTTTTTGTTGTAAAGGGGCCCAAATTGGGGCTCTGTTAGGTAAGGCGTTCTTTTTTGATTTCTCTTTGAAAGGGAATGCTAAGAAAAGGGTTTTTTTTTTTTGGTAAGTACATGTTGGTGGGCCCAGTGTTTGGTGTTTTGATTTAAATAAATTTAAAAAAATATATAATATTACGGGTTTTAAGAAAAGGTATCCAACAAAAACCGTAAATTTTTCCCAACCCCATTTTAATGTGAACCCCAAAACCCCCCAAAAAATGTCCCCAAAATTTAAAAATTTTTTGAAAAAAATTTAAATAACTAATTGATTATTTTTAAAGGAAAAAAAGCTGTCATTACAATGTTTTCTGGTAATAAAAAAGATTTTTAAAATTTTTGAATCTTTGCAATTGAAAACTCAAAAATGTGCCATTTAAAAAAAATTTGCATGTTTTTTTTGCTCCCCCTTTAAAAATTAAAAAGTGTCTGTTCCCCCAAAAAAAATTTGTTTGCTTAAACTCAACAGAAATTTGAAGTTTTTTTTTTTTACTTTTTACAGAAATCTAGGGGATCCCAAAATTATTTTTTTAATTTTTTATAATCCAGGTTTTAAAGAAGGAGGGAAAGGGATAGTTTTGTCTTAAAAGAAGAAGAAGACCCCCTTGTGTGTAGAAATTTAAAAAATTTTTTTTTCGTCCTTTGCCCATGTCTACAAGCCCAATAAGGGGTTTTGGGGCAGATACGATACTTCGTGATGCTAAGGGGGGGACCCTATGGCCCCTTAAATTTGGGGTTTTTATTTTTTCCTTTGAAAAATGTGAAACCCGTCACATTTTTATAGACGCGCTACTGCTGACATTTTGAGGGGCCTCTTTCTCGCCATTGGGTCCCTATGGAATGTGAAAGGGGGGAAAAAGAATGCCTTTCCAGGTAAGTTTATAACTAATTCCCCTTTGATAAAATCTATATAAAAAATTTGTTTTTTAAACGGGTTTTTTATGTTTTCAAAAAACCCGCCTCCGTGTCAAAGGGGTTTAGATCGATGTTTTAGTTATAACTCGGGGCGGGGTTTGGGTTTCCCCGGGAGATGTTTGGAGTTTAGCACAGGGGAAGTATTTAGTTTTTTGAATCTCCAGAACTAGGGGTTGGAAAATCCCCCCTTTAATGCCCTGAAATCTTTTGGGAAAAGGCGTCCATAAAATGAAAAAAAAAACAAAAAAAATTTTTCCCTTCCCACAAAAAATTAAAAAACATGTAAAAAAAATAAACCCCTTAAAATTTTAATAGGATACTGGAATTTAAACGAACTTTTTAGAAAATGGATAGATTAAAAAAGAAATTTTAAAAAAGGTCTGAAATTTTTTTTTGTATGTTTTTTATTAAAATTTCAAAAAATAAATCGTGGCAGGGGATAGGAGTAATTACTACAAAATTTCTTCAAATTTAAGGTTATTATGAAGTTTTAATTTAGAAAGTAAAAAAAGGGTGAAATTTAAAGTTTTAAATTTCATTTAGTAACCAGAGGGCCTGTTTATTTTCTTTTTAGTTGCTTTCCAACTGTGAGTAGGGGAAATTAAATTTCAAACCTTTTCATTTCTCTTGACCCTGGCTTTTTTAATTTTAAATTTGGGGAAAAAAAACAACTTTGGGTTTTCCCCAAATTTTTTAAGGAGAAAAATTTAACCTACTGAAACGTTAATGATTAGAAAACCCCCTATGGGTGTGTTTCTTTGACAAAAATTTTGTGATGATAAAAAATTTTTACGTCATACAAAATTTGGGAAACTTTTTAGAAAAAGGGAAAAAAAGGCCCAATAAGATGTCACAGCATTACTTTTCTGTGTCAAACATTTAAAATTTGGGGAAAAGTTTTTGGGAAAAATTTTAAAAAATTTTGGGAAAAAGGCAATAAAGAGGAAAAAAAAGAAGATTTCCTTTTTACTTAAAAATTAAAAGGTCCTTTTTTTTTAAATGTGTCTGGTAAGCTGGACCAACAATTTTATAGGGTTTTTGTAAAATCCCCAAAAAATAAAATTGAAAAAACCACAAAAAATGTTTGATATTTTTTTTGGAGCGGAAAAAGGGTTCAAGGCGGGGTTTGGGTTCCCAAAAAAAAGGCAAAGGAAAAATAGTGGGGGGAGTTGAAAAATATTTAATTTTTCCCGCGGGAAAGGGTTGAGATGTGTTTTCCGTGGTTGTCCCTTTATAGGGTTTCCCAGCTGAAACAAATTTATTTGCTCCAAATTTTACGCTGATCAGAAAAAAAAACTATCTAACAAAAAAAAGGAAAAACCCATAAACAGAACATAAAAGAATTTAGTTCCGATGAAACGAGAATGGGAAAATCAAAATTTTTATGAAAAGACAGGCGTTTATTTTTTAAAATAAATCGAAATTTTTTTCACCCAAAAGCTTGATTTTCCGAAAGTTGTGTGGATTTGAACCCCAAAAACCACAAAAAGTAGCCCCAAAATTTTAGCCCAAAACCCCAACCCCTGTTTCCAAAATTTAAAGATTTAAGGGGTAAAAAAATCAGAAAAAGGGCCCCGGGTAAAAGCCACACCTCCCCAATCCCAAAAAATCACGAACCCCCACAAAAAGTATTTAAAACCCGGAGTGCCCGGAAAACAAAATGTGTTCCCCAAATTGGATTTTAGGGCGCAAAGCACGGACAATTCCCTGCTCGGGGTGTTATAAAAAAA